TTGAAGAGGCGAGGTGGAGGTTGGAGGGGGTGAGGGAGGGGGGGGGATTGGATGTGTGTATGTGCTGCATTTGTTAAGAATAATGTTAAATATGATTTGTGATTGGGTAATAGGGATGAATATCAGCCCCAAACTATCTTGTAGTTCCTGTTTCGAAAGATAAAAGTTTGATTTAGCAAGGATGAAACTTACTGTCTACTCTATATACTGCCCAATGAGTGAAATGTCTAATTCTTGAAGAAGATAGCTTATGTCTTTACTAGCAAGTACAAAGGTCCTTTTCACTAGGACCAGTCTCCATATTCCTCAATAACCCTGCCTTGCTCTTGAGCTTCAAGAAATTCCGTCACGGTCCACTGTTTGAAAGTATGCCCTGGTACGAGATTTGTATTCTTAAACTCAGTTCCCCAGAGCAAATGGTCTGCACAAGCTTGGAAGTTGTCGTAAGCGTACCCCACGGGGTCGTGACGCAAAAGCCATTGCCCAGTGAAATTCCCAATGCTTTCTAGGTTCTCCTCAGTGCTAGCAGAATCAGAGGTATGGAACTTCTGGCGATTCTTGAAGCCCATCTTTTGGGCGCATGCAACACGCTCAAATCTATTACATTTAGTACTATATAAAAATATCTGTAGTAGAAATAGGGACTCGATGGCCTACCTTAGCTTGTTGTGAACTCGATTGGCAAGAGGTATTTCTTGCTTCCCGGCCATCTGCAGACAAGCTGCAAGCGAGAAACCATCCTCCATGGCCATACTAGCACCGCTTGCAGAGCTGGGCAAGAATGTGTGTGCGGAATCACCAATCTGAACTACGCGTCCCTTTGGTGAAACCCATTTTGGTTGCGGGTTGCGCCACATCAACTGCCAGTCAATGCACGAATTACCTGGCGTAAATTTGATAATCTCTTTCACGAACGGTGACCATGTCTCCACGAATGGTAGTGCATCGTCTGCTGAGGTAGTCCACCACCAATCTTCCTTTGCATGTCCAATATCCTATAAATATGTTAGCATTAGAAAAAGAAAGGAAATCATAAGCTAGATCTCAAGGGGGTGACGTTACTTTGTGGGTCAAGGCCCAGGAAATACGATGCGGCATTTTCGTTATTACGCCGTGAGCATTCGGTCCAAAATGTAGCTCCATCCTGGTTTCAGCCCCATTGAAGTATTCTGCAATGAGGGGTTCTTCATAGCGTCGCCAGTAGGAAAATCTGCCCTGTAAATTGCATACCCTGAGCTGACGGGCTTCTCGAACTTGTCGAGAATCAACTTCCATGACCTCGATCCAACACCGTCGGCTGCGACAACTACGTCTGCAGTCAATTTGCGACCGTCTGACAGAACCACAACCCCGGCATCATCAGTCTCCATGTACTCAGCGGCATGAGTTGAGTATTGAGTCTCGATCCCTAAATCTTTCGCGTATTGCGCAAGCTCGATGTGCATACCAAGTCGATTAACAGCTAGAGAGGGAAGCTCTGGAGTTCCAAGTGGAAAGTTGCCCAGACTCTTTCCATTGTGCTGGAACACATGGATTTCAGAGGGTTGGACTGTGTGTCTAAGCACCTTCTCTAAAAAGCCTGGCCATGCCTTGAAGTCCTTGTGAATTGGCGCCTGGATTATCATGGCTTCACCTATTGTGCGAATTCAGTTAGACTTGTTTTGCAAGTAGCTATTAGGAGCTTACCAAAGTCTTCAAGCTTGGGTCGCTTCTCGATGATTTGGACATCATGGCCTTGTCGATATGCTTCAATTATAAATGTCAAGCCTCCCAATCCAGAGCCTACTACCAGCACAGATATTCCCGTAGGAGGTTTGCGCTGCATAGTCGATGCTGCTGTTTTAGGCTGAGGAACTGTCATTGTAAATGTAGTGATAGTGCGCGTTGTGATGGTGTGTAGTGATGTATCAAGAAACAATATTCAATTCTGGTGCCACAACAAGGTTTTTATATAGAAAATATCATCAGATCTAATGTATGAATCATTGAACATATCCGAATACGATCCAAGTATCAGTGCATGAATTATGGAACCGGTGAAATTCATCGTAAGATGTATCCATTACTATTACGCGGAATCCGAAATAGGAAGATCCGCGTGGCCAAAAATAACCAGAAGTACTTGATTCATTACGATGGAATCCTTCTTGTTGTTTGTGACAACTCGCCATCTGGCTATTGTTCCGAAAAGCCCCTGATTCTGTTTGATATAAGATGTGAATTCTGATGAAAATAATAATAAATTTGTGTGGTAAGCATAAATCATGTCAACTGAGGGACCCTTTGATGCGTAAACTTTCCGACCTATTCTCAGCATCATTCGGGACTAGACCATCCCCTTGGGTCTTACGACGACCTTTGATCATCCGGAGAGAGAAGGAAAATTATTTAAAAAATACAATGATGTGACTTATTTGGGAAAGCAAAGCGTCGCATGTGTGACATCGGCGGCCAACAATATCCGACATGTTTAGTTGGGACGGCGTACTTGTCCACAGCCATTAGCTGATACCAGCTCACTCCTGGTTTAAGTCCGTGTAATCGGATTCGAGACTTGGCTTGGACCGATCGTTTTTGTCATGAGCCTGGTTCCTTGGCCGACTTGTGACAAGGATCACTACGTACTAGTTTGTAGTACTATTTAGTAACTAGACCCACCACACCGTGCACGAGACGTCTGTCCTGCACGCGCGGCCTCATCAGGACAACCTCATAAATATGGCCATAGACTCGCGCTACAGAATTATCATCGCCATACTCTAGCGTCTTAAGTCTATCAGGCCTTGACATATAGATCCATCTATAGAGATTGAGTTGGAATTATGATTGCGCGGCTGCGCCGTGAAGTTTGAGGTGGTGAGCCTTCACGACCTTCCTCAGGTTCCTTACTACCCCGAGGACTCACGATAGGCTTCCTTTTCTTCAATAGCTTTTATAGAAGCCTTGAAACTCCTTCTATTTGTTTTTAGAGGTTTTGATGGATTTTAAAGTCATGTAGCCTGGTGAGATACGATCCTCGAAGCCTTTTCAATAGTCTTTTTCTCCTCTCTCTGCCCCATCAGGCTCGCTGCAAGCCTCGTCTACCGCCTCTGATCCTTATCCTTCACCTTGGCCTACCTTATCTCATCACGTTCCCTCATTGTTTCAGATTTTCTGAGTTGTAGCTATTCCTCCACCTTTCATGGTCACATACGATCGCGCGTCCCCCTCACCTTCCTGGCAGCACCACAATATTGCTCTGCCTCTGTAAATGCAGAAGCTGGCCTCAACTTCTACGCGTTCTCTCGTTGTTTAGAGCGGTACGCAGGTCATTATCTTCATATTCAGCAAGCATGACTGTGGCTTGAATACTCAGCCCCAGGCTGCTCCTGCTATGAGTTGTTGGTCTAGCATTCGCTTAGCCTGGTCGCATGCACTGCCTCGCCAGGCAGCCTTGACCGTAGCCCATCTTGAACCCTCTCCATCTAGTTCTCTTCGTTACGAATACACCTTGCTATTCTCGACACCGTCTACGTTGTTCACGCCTGGATTTCAGAGAGTAGGCCAATGCCACTAATGCCATGAGACTCCTTCATTTCAACGCGCTGGGAAAGCCCGTCTTAACAGATTTCTACGGCAAGACAATTCCGCCTTACGCCATTCTGTCGCACAGATGGACCGATTCTGAAGTTTTGATTGAGAACATAAGAGACGGAACCTACGGCACGAAGGAACAAGGCAATCGAAAGCTTGAATTTTGTGCCCACAAAGCAGCGCATGACGATTTGCAGTACTTCTGGATCGATACATGTTGTATCAACAGGTGGAATAACAAAGAACGCTCAAATGCGATCAACTCGATGTTTGAGTGGTACAAACGCGCGACACGGTGCTACGTCTTCTTATTAGACGTGTCAGTGTCGGCTACAACAGAGCCAGTCCAGCGCAGCGACTGGGAAGCATTACTTCGGAGAAGCGAATGGTTTACCAGGGGATGGACACTCCAAGAACTAATTGCACCAGTGTCAGTCGAGTTCTTCTCGGTTGAAGGACACCGCATAGGCGATAAAGCATCACTTAGCCAGTTACTGCACGATATAACTGGCATCCCGCTCTCGGCACTACACAACGATCCTTTGGATGAATTCAGTATATCTGAGCGAAGAAGATGGGTCGACGGCCGCAAAACAAAGGAGGAGGAAGATATCGTGTACTGCCTGTTTGGGATTCTTGGTGTCTCTATGCCTACCGCGTATGGCGAAGGAAAGGAGAGTGCAGTAATTAGACTGCAGACTGAACTAGAAGAAGCTAGTGATGTACCATCGATTATTCCGTTCGCCCAAAACCCTCGATTTGTCGGCCGAGAGGAACAGCTCGCTGAGCTAGAAGCAAAGCTCTTCACCAACGAACAAACTACCACTACTGCAATAGCGATTGTTGGACCTGGGGGAACGGGCAAGTCTCAGCTTGCACTTGAGATTGCACACAGAATGAAGCGAAACAGCAAGAGCTGCTCAGTTTTCTGGATGAACGCGACCGATAAAGATAGTCTCTACCACTCATACGCAAGGGTTGCGCAGAAACTCAATATCACTGGGTGGGACGATGCTCAGGTCGACATGAAGAAACTTGCAAAACGCTGCGTGGAAGATATCAGTACACGGCAGTGTTTGCTGATTTTCGACAACATCGAAAAAACCGCTCTGCTATCTAGCGAGTTGTCCACAACAGAAGCCCCAAACCCAGTGGCCGACTTTCTTCCACAGGGCAAGCTGTGCTCCATTCTCTTTACTACCACAGACAGCGACACAGCTCAAGCTCTCGCTCCACAAAACCTCATAGAAATGCGAGCATTGACACCCGATGCCGCGTTGAGGATGTTGCAGATCCGCTTAGCAAGGCCACTCTCGACCACTGAACAAGAGGTAGCTCAATGTTTGCTAAGAGAACTGTCATATCTCCCTCTAGCAATCATTCAAGCAATAGCCTGTATAAATGCGAGCGGGATGACATTGCAGGAGTACCGACTACAACTAGACGGTTTCAAAGGTCCCGCTCTCGAAGATAGTGATGACTCTTCTAAGGGTGAGCTGCAGGAATCTAACAGGAGAGATCCTATTGCTGCTACGCTATATCTTTCCGTCAGCCAACTTTTCCATAGGCATGAGCTAGCTGCACAATATCTGTGTGTCGCTGCATGTTTAGACCGGAAAGATATTTCACTTGATATCCTAGAGGCAAATCCAACACGAAGAAGAGAAGATGCAATCAGGATACTAGACAAGTATGCGCTCATCATCAGACGACCTGCTGATTCTGCGCTGGATCTTCATCGACCAGTCCATCAAGCTCTACGCAACCTGCTGCAAAGGGAAGAAAAGCTTGAAGAGTGCATTAAAGTCGCTATTGCAAAACTACTTCTTGTATTTCCAAACGGTGACTACATAAACAGAAGTAAATGGAGACGATTACTTCCGCATACTCAGAGCGCTCTATCACATATTTGGACAGATGTTGATGAAAAAAATAGACTGCTTCTCGCAGAGAGATGTGCTACGACTCTACGTATTGACAGAAGATATAGGGAGGCAGAAAAGCTACAAGCTCAAGTGGTAGAGGCGAGGAGATTGCTTGGAGAAGAGCATCTTGACACCCTGAGGGCTATGAACGACCTATCTTGGACGTACAAGAAACAAGGGCGATTGATAGAGGCAGAAGAACTAGCGGTAAAAGCGATGCATACGGCAAGAAGAATTTATAGTAACGAGCATCCTAATGCGCTAGCTATCACACATAATCTAGCGTTGGCACACTTCACTCAGGGTCGGTATAAAGAGGAAGAGAGGCTACAAGTTCAGGTACTTAAGGCGAATAAGAAAGTGTATGGCAAAGAGCATCCCGATACGCTAAAAACCATGAGCACCCTAGCGGGAACATACCATTGTCAAGGGCGATGGGCAGAAGCAGAAGAGCTAGAAGTACAAGTGATGCATGCGTCTAGAAGAGTTCTCGGCAACGCAGACTATGATACGCTAGTTATCACACATAATCTAGCGTTAACACTCTCTAGACAAGGACGGTTTAAAGAGGCAGAAGAGCTACAATTGCAAGTCCTGCAGGAGAGAAAGAGAGAGCTGAGTGATGAACACCCTGATACGCTAATCAGCATGCATAATCATGCCGTCACGCTGCATTCAACAGCTCGTTGCAAGGAGGCGTGTGCGCTCATGGAAAAATGCTACCAATCGTCTCGAAAGGTCCTTGGTGAACAACACGATTTCACACAATCTTCGTCTGCTTGGCTTCGTCACTGGCGGGAAAAAAGACTGTAAGAACGAGGATTTGTAAAAACAAAACATTTCGTTATACAAGTTCATGTATCTCCTATATTGTACACATATACTTCATTTCAAAACGTCTGGTCCATGATGCTGCCATGTGTCAAACCAGGTGGACCGTTTTGTAAATAGTTTCAATTCACTTGATTACAACGGATTCACGTAATCCAGATATACATGTGTGCTAGAGGATTTTATGAGGCATACGCGTTCTCGGAATAGCTGCCTTCAAGTTGGGAATTAGAGTCGTCGGTGGCGACAAACTGAGCTCAGGATCGCGATTCTCCGCCACTATGTACTACTTAAAACTAACATACATGTTCTTTGGCTATTTCTGGTAACAATGCTGATTGTGAGTGGATGTAGATATCGAATCTCGCTGTTTCAGTGTAGGCAACTATATGGTGTCTTCTTAAAATGTCACTGTCCCTTTTCTAACAACTTCGTTACTTATCACGTTTTGATATACCAACGGTGCTAATTATTATTACATGAATAACTTGAGCTTTCAATCCAATGCAGAGACTCCCTAATTTAGTTTTGGCAAAGGTTAGACCACTGGAAGTATGTCTCTTAGCCTGTACCTGGTAATGAGACTATAAGTGCATGTACGACAGGGGATCTGTTTTGACAAGAAGTTTCATGTCGTTCAATTACAAGTAGCATAGGTCGGCAATGTATATTTTGGTATAACCTTGTGAGATCGTAACAAAGCGAATAGCTGAATTCATTAGGAATCAAACTGTCAACATCTGAAAACCGTGAATGATCTTGAAATTAACTGGGAGCTTCATACAAAGTGTCGCGTTCTAGACGAAGTCAAGATTCTCTTTCGAATTTAGCCAGTAGAATGGTGAAATTTAGTGGTGTTACATGTATCTATGGGTACGAACAGCCAAATAACTTTTCACTTACAAACCACGCAAACTACAGTAGATACAAAATTTTCTGATTCAGTTCATTCACCAAGGTTTATGCTTCGCAAATCAAAATGTAAGAAAGCATTTGTTAATGCCTTTCGCATCCTATAAGAAACGAGATATTGCTATATCTACCAACCCCCCATGCGAGAAAAGATCCATCGCACCCACATTGTTATGTGTCAACTTGACCCTACTGAAGTACTAACCAAACGAATGGCGCAGCAATAACTTCCAACTCTAGATCCACTTCCCATCCATCAAATCCTATATTTTCTACCGCTTTTACGGATCCCGATAACAGAGTAGTACGCTCACGCTCTCGCTGAAGGACATAAAAGACAATATACGCACCTCAATCATATCAATACAACACTGGCATACTCCAACTGCGCAAATTCCGTAGTCAAAGAAAAACACAGCATCCTCGGAAACATGCCCAAGACACTAGATTCCGACTCGGAAAGCATTACCCCACACTCCCCCCTCCCCATCTGCCGCCCCAGCCCCTCAATAATGACGCCTCTAAATGCCAACTCGAGCGAAAAAGTCCAAGAGTGAGGGGTGGTTTCCAGTTTCGCACCAGGTGGGGGGCATTGGGTTACGTACGTAGACAACTTGGTTTGCGACCACCCAGAGCCACGCATTCGTGATTGCTTTAAAACTGGGGTATTGATGCTCGGGGGAAGGGATAGCCCGTTGTCATGTATGTAGGAAGGGCAGTGGCCTACATACCGAAATAGAGCTAGTGGGAAGGAGTACATGAATGGGGTAGGATGGGGTTCCCTTGATAAGAGGATGTAACGGTGTCTTTCCTACATCACAAACCTTTTATTCTTAACTTTACTCATACCTAGGTCCAATAATCCGCATTTCCGAATTGTACATACCACGCTCTTATACCTCAATACCAAACACAATTCATACAACAACAAAGACAAAGCCGACGTTTTCAAACATGCCGAGCAACACAATGAAAGCAGTACACTACGAAGGCCCGTTCAAAGTCTCAGTCAAGGACGTCGAGTTACCCAAGATCCAGCATCCAGATGACGTCATTGTCAAGGTCACGACAGCAGCCATTTGCGGATCCGACCTGCACATGTACCAGGGACGGACCGCAGCGGAAGCTGGTCTTGTATTCGGCCATGAGAACATGGGGATCGTCATGGAGGCTGGGCCGGGCGTAACTCTCCTGGAGAAGGGCGATCGGATTGTATTGCCATTTGTGAGTACGCATAACGCTATCTGTAGATGAGTGGGCTGACGTCGAGCTTCCTAGAACGTTGCAGACGGCCGATGTCGCAATTGCGAAGAAGGCAAGACGGCATTCTGTACTGGGTGAGTCAAGGCTTGGCGGAAAGCTTCACAACATTGTCTAACAATCGTAGTGTAAACCCAGGCTTCGCTGGTGGCGCGTACGGATACGTGGCCATGGGACCATATCAAGGCGGCCAAGCACAATACCTCAGGGTACCGTTTGCTGACTTCAATGCACTGAAACTGCCGCAAGGGACCGAGCACGAGGCCGATTTCATTCTACTTGCGGACATTTTCCCAACAGGATGGCACGGGCTTGTGCTCTCTGGTTTCAAGTCTGGCGAGAGTGTAGCAGTGTTTGGCGCGGGCCCTGTTGGTCTGATGGCAGCATACAGTGGTGTGCTACGCGGTGCAAGCAAAGTGTTTGTTGTGGATACGGTCCCCGAACGTTTACAAGCAGCGGAAAAGATCGGTTGCGTACCCATCGACTTCAAAAAGAGCGATCCTGTTGAACAAATCATCAAGCTTAACGGCGGCATGGTTGATCGCGCAGTGGATGCTGTTGGATACCAGGCAGTGGATGCATCGGGTAGCACAGAAAAACCCAACATCGTCCTTGACCAGTTGATCATGGTCACGCGCCCAACTGGAGGGCTAGGAATTCCGGGGCTTTATGTGCCAGCTGATCCCGGAGCGCCGGATGAACAAAGCAAGAAAGGCCAGATTTTGATCTCGTTCGGAAAGCTTTTTGAAAAGGTACGCGTGTGCACCATATTCATTTTCCAGCACTGATCCAAGTAGGGCCTGCACCTCGGAACTGGACAATGCAACGTCAAAGCCTACAACAGGTATCTTCGCGATATGATCGTGTCGGGCAGGGCAAAGCCAAGTTTCGTTGTGTCTCACGAGATTAATATCGAGGATGCACCAACGGCGTACGAGAAGTTTGACAAGAGGATCGAAGGGTATACCAAAGTGTTGATCCACCCGAACGGCGCTTTGAACTAGCTGAGCGTATGAGTGTCTATTCTGCAATATGGAGGTTCCAAACTCACAACAGAGCACTATTAACATCGCGAGCATGAGGCTTTTGCGCGAGCGTTAAACCAATTCATCTTTTGTCGCGCATTAATAGCGTTGTAACGCTTGAGCGTTATCATCTGGGAGGTATGCCCTAACAATCTTGACTTCTTCTACCGGGCGATCCTCTTTGTCTGTTTTGACCAAACCAAGCTTCTTTACAACCTGCATGCCGCTCTTGACCCTACCAAAGATGGTGTGCTTTCCGTCCAACCATGGTGTAGGTGCGAGGGTAATGAAGAACTGAGACCCGTTTGTGTTAGGGCCTGAATTGGCCATGCTAAGGATGCCAGCTCCAGTATGTTTGAGTTGCGGTGATATCTCGTCTTCGAATTTTTCGCCATAGATGGATTCACCGCCTCGGCCAGTACCTGTAGGGTCGCCTCCTTGGATCATAAAGTTTGGTATTATACGATGGAATATGAGGCCGTTGAAGTAGCCGCGCTGGGCCAAGGTTGAGAAGTTCTTGCATGTCTTTGGCGCATGGTCGTTGTAGAGTTCGACAACAACAGTGCCCTGTTGAGGTTAGATTGATTCTCCCTCATAGAATGCGAAACATACGATTGTAGTGTCGAGTGCGACGTCGGTAGCCATGGTAGATATGCGGAGTTGCAAGTGAGGACTGTGATGGTAGCTTCCCCAGCATCTAGAAATCCAACGCCAGATCAACGCACGGTCCCCTTCACCAGCCACAGTAGCCACACTGACTAGCGTGAAGTGATGAATCACGGCGGACGCCTTCTGACTTCAAACATCTCCAAGACCCAACAACTGCAATCATGGATCTATCATCTTGGGCACTACCCCAGCTCTCGAAGCTTCTTCCTCTTGATGACGAGTCGCTGAAGCAGATCATATCATATACAGACTCGCTCTCTCAGAAGGAAGCAGCAGACCATCTCCAGAATTTACTCGGAGATAGCCCACAAGCACTTGAGTTCATTACTTCTTTCAACAACCGGAGGAAACCCAAGAGTTCCGCTGGTGCACGCCAGAACCAGCCGTTGAATGACATTTCAGAAGTACCAAAGTCAAAGCCTAAGAAAAAGAAGCAAACCGGGCTGAATAAACTCCCGCCACCGCGACAACCAGATAACTATGGAAATGTTTCCGGTGCGTACATGAAGAAGGATGAGGAGGACTACATGGCAGGTAGTTCAAAAGCGAAAGCGGCCAAGTTCGGACTTTCGGAACAGCCAGATGCTTTGCAGCTGCCAAAATCGACTGCGTCATCAGGAGCAGCGACACCAAAGTCTCGTGGTGTCTCCCCTGCTCCCTCAGCCGCGAAACTTCCAGGCACTGTGGTGGGGGAAGCCAAGCCCAAACCCAAACCCAAGGCCAAGGTCAATGTTACCGGTGGCACACCAATGCATGGCGCGTCAACAGCACTGGACGACCTAGAGTCAGCCATCAGAGCGCTGGAAATTCAGACGAATCCTACTTTAGCCACCCAAGACAACAGCAAGCGGAAATGCAACTGCATGGCCACTAGGCATCCGCTCCTAGAAGCTGCGCCGAATTGTTTGAATTGCGGCAAGATCATCTGTGTAAAAGAAGGTATCGGCCCATGTACTTTCTGCAATTCTGCACTCTTGAGTCCCCAAGATATCCAGTCCATGGTGCGCATTCTTCGTGAAGAACGTGGAAAAGAGAAGATGGCTGTAAATAATGCCGGCCAGAAGCGCGCCGAAGTATCATTGGCGCCTCGCCCTTTTTCCACTCCCCGTGGTCCTACGCCCACATCTTCCAATCCTGCCTCAGATGTAGAATCAGAGAATGAGAAGCTTGCCAAAGCGAAACAACACAGAGACAAGCTACTGGCCTTCCAGGCACAAAATGCGAAGCGAACTCAAGTCCATGATGAGGCTGCAGATTTCGAGACCACAAGCGCCGGACTGAGCATGTGGGCCAGCCCGCAGGAACGTGCCATGCAGCTCAAGCGCCAACAAAAGGCCCTTAGAGATCAAGAATGGAATGCACGGCCCGAGTATGAGAAGCGCAAAGTTGTTGCCAGCATTGACCTTTCCGGCAAGAAGCTCGTTCGGCGCATGGCTGCTGCAGAGCGACCTGCTACACCAGAGAGCGAAGATGAACCTTCTGAATCCAATCAAGGCCCAGCAGATGGAAATACCCTGTCGAGTGGCGGTGGCGCGTTCAGCAGGAACCCACTGTTGGGTAGCCTGATCCGACCAACCATTAAGATCGACGAGGGTAAAGGAAAAGAGAAGGGTGGTGAAAGGAGACAAACATGGCGGCGAGTACAAGATGACAACGACGACAATGAGCAATGGATCTTAGATGGTGGCGTTTATGGCTCCAGAGCAGATAATGTCGGTTTAGAGACGGATGGGCTTCGATAAGTCACTGGTGCCATATGTAAATAGCGATTGGAAGACAATTCCCATGGTTGAATTCCTTAGTCGATCGTCTTCACATATCTATTGACTAGACAAATACATCGATAGAACATCTCTATATAAATTACATATTGTCATTGACCGCTAGGCATCACCCTCTCCAACCGACTACATCCCACACCACTTCTGTTGGCGCATAGGTAGGTCACAAACTGTACCCTCAATATTCGTAAGTACCCAGCTCTTCAATTTATTTTCCTCCGCCACTCCTCTTCACACAACCAGCTTCCAATGCCACTTCATCCCCAGCCGCTGAAAAAACGAGAACAGCGAGCCCTTAGGCACATACCCAGCATACCTGGCTTGCCACCATGCCGCAAAGCTCCCTACACAATCAGACAAAGTCAGCTCAAATATTACTCCATCATTAACCACAGCAATGATATCACATACCTTCCGCAGGACCCAACTCCGCAAACCCTAGCGCTTCAAGAATCCACGGCGCAACAATAGCAAGCACGCCTAACGCAATAACCGTACACATGACTGGGTGCTCGACAACAAATCCCTCGACGCTCTTTGCAGCCTCCCAGGCACGGAGGTACGCATCGTGGATGGTAGGACCGAGTTTCTCGTGCGAGGCTTGTAGGGCCTTCGCGAGATTGTCGAGGATGTATTGGGCAAGGTTCTGGCGCCAGCCGTAGGCGCCGACGAGCGAGTCGAGCTGCATACGTAGGGCTTGCCCGGTGATTGAGGTAGTGATGAGGGCTGCGACTACATTATTTGCGATTTCAGTTTCTGGGCGAGCAGTGGGTGACTGAAGGAGGGATGCTTTTTCCGAGGTGGAGGTGTAGGTGGGAGTAAGGTCTGCGGTGCCGCAGTTCATGCATGCGAGGATAGCTTGGAGGCGTGCGAGTGCCATTTTGGTATTGTTATTGTAATTTTGGGGATGAGACTAGCAGTTATTGTTGGGGTGATGGTTTTATGTATCTAGAGGAGCGTGGGGGGTGGGCGCTTAGAGTGTTTGCTGTGCCGCAGAGAGTGGTGTGGTGAAAGTGAAGTCGGGCAGCCTGGTCCAATCGAATCTTGGAGGCTGAAATGCCGCGAGGCTGAGTTTGTAGGAATACAATGCAAACTGCAAGGCTGATGCTGAGGCGCTTTTTGGGCGTACAGAAGGTGTGTCCTGCTTTATCGAAACATGCAACTACTCTTTACTTGGCACTGGCAAGGCTGAGAAGTCGTCCCTTTGATCGTTGATCTAACCCTTTTTCCCTAGAGATATCGGATATATCGCAATAATACCCGATGTGAAAACCAAAAGCAAAATACCCATGGCCTCAGCAGAGACAACTCCAGATGCTCAGCGGCAATCGCAAAAGGGAGGTGACTACCAAACTGCAACCGCAGTCGGTCATAGAGGGGACTATTCCCTCCTAATGAAGGCAAAGCTGGAACTGATTGTTCAACACTTATCAATCTAAATTCAATAGGAATGCGGAATAGGTACTGACGTATACAAGTGAATGCGAACCTTAGTGGCTATATCACGAGAAGCAATGCTTCGAGATCAGCAGCCTGTTCTTACCTTTACTTGTCAAGTTCCTGCCAAAGTAACTTACCTTTACTATATCTGCTCAAACTCACTTGTTTCTACTCAAATCCCATCAACACATCTCTTTTAGAAAGCCCAAGCCAATAGTTGTTCTCTCGTCCATACAATTACATCGTTACATGATGGGCGGTCATGCCTTCAAAAACCTCTACTGTCCACGCATCAATCCAGATGTATACTTCCAAGTCAAAGCCCAAGCTACTACAGCACTTCAGATAGTATTCACACATGTAGTCGTCCCAGCTGAGATGCCCGAGAAGGTAAGATTGAGAGGTAGAGTTTTGTTTCCCTTGCTAAGTACCCAAGAACGACTACGGCGACGTCGACTTCCTCGTTTGTAGCCCGTTGCACTCCCCACGACCTCACACCATAAATGATTTCCCATGGGAAGAAACAGTCCAGCTTACCAAAGATGCCTTTGGAACAACACATGGACGCCGAGGCTATCTCACCAATGATTGCATGTATTTCGCCGTCGATGCGTCATGTGATGGAGAAGACTACTTTATCCAGATTGACGTTAAGGTCTGCTTCAAGCCAGAGTTGTTCGAATGGTACACCTTTGGCTTTGGCTATGCGAGTAGCAGTAAGATAATTGGAAGTATGGTGAAGCCCTTAGGTCTCACGATTGACCCAGAAGGCATCCACATTCGCGTTGAAGATTTGGAAGAGACAGATCATAACGAGAGTATGTTGTGGATCAGTAAGGATCCCAAAGATGTCTTGAGAATTGCCGGTTTGGATTTCAGAATCGTGAACGGTAGATTTAAGACCAAGGAAGAGAGTAAGTCTGTTGATGCACATGGGTTGCGTAGTGCACACTATGCTGATCAAGCTACCAGTATACAAGTATTTTGCTCGTTCATGGCTCTTTAATCCAGCTCATTTTGCTGCAAGGCTCGCCGAGGAGAATTATGGAAACCGACTGGAAGAGCGATCTGCGCCCTGGACTCACTTCATCAAAGAGTGGGTGCCTGGGCACTACCCTGGCTACCGGTTTACTATAGGCTCTTCAGATACTGTGAATTCCGAAAACAGCGGCGAAGGAAACATTACACAAGACCTCGAAACATGGTACAAGCATACCAGGTCCGCCGTCCGTGACAAAGTCTTCACCACGTTCCCCAACACTGCAGAACAGTACTACACCAAACGGGCCGCCCATCGCAAAAGGCTTGAAGAACAGCAATTGGCAAGTCTAATCATGAATGCCATACCCATCGGCACAAGCGGATGGGAAGCTGCAGTGGCATCAGTCAACCTCACATTCACGCATACACCCCTCGCACCACCTGATCTCGAGCCCACCCCCTCCCACGAAACACCACATCCATCATTGGACTTCGTAACCCCTGTCATCACATACAACAACACCCTTTCCCCCACCCAACCCAAAACTATCCACCTACCCCCTCTCCCCCGTCAACCCCCAATCTCATTCTCCCCGCGCCCCCCACCACCCAGCATGTCCATCGAAGCCAAACTCGCCTGTCTCTCACGCTGGACGCACTTCGACCTTTCCACCGGCACACCGTATATGCTCTGCACGCCACGTCCCAAGGAAGAGAGTATATGCTGGACGGATGCAATCTACGCGGGTGTGAGTGAGGAAGTGCTGCTGAGGTGGGCGAAGGAAGAGTGGTGGCGGGTTTGGGCTAGGCAGGGTGTGGTTAATTATGTGGGGATGTGGAGGGTGAGGTTTGAGAAGGAGGATAAGAAGAGTGCCAAGGGAAGGGAGAAAGATAATGGTGGAGATAGGTTGAGGAGGGTTAGGGAGAGGTTGCAGGTTGTTAATAGGAAGTTGGGATTCTTGATGGCTTGAAGGTTTGAGAGTGGGGGTATGGTTGGTGGGATGATTAAGACAGGTTTGAATGAGGTTTGGGTAAGGGTTCAGGTAAGGTGTGGTGCTGGAATGGATTCGGGTTGATATTTAGGTATTGAAAGGATTGTGGAAATTTCTAGCAAAAAAGCTATTGTTTGCCAATGGTCTAGTCGCTACATTTACATATGTTCCAAAACTTGGGAAATTCGTCTATCCGGACGCGGATGATGGATCGTGGGGTGTTCTAAGCCTCAGATAGTTGATGTGATACGAACAAGATAATATTACTAACTATGTATTAACCCAAACAATTGCCCTATAATCTATGCACTCTCAAATTAGAGAAAACTTCCTATCCAAACTTATTTAGGCCCGATGCCCAACAGATCAGGCGATCTTTGATGTACCCAAATGCCATAACTAATGTGTCTGCTGACCCAATACTCAGCCGGCCATCCAACCATGATCACAGTCCACACCAAGCCCACCACCCGCCACATCCAATTATCTCTGAACCCCATCTTCTTCCCCAAAGCAATAAGATGATCCTCGACCAAGATAATCACCGCCTGGCTCATGAAGAACACAAACCCACCATCATCGGTCCATGCCTGATTCACCAGCATCGCCGCCACGGAATGAATAATCCACGAATTGGCGAACGTCACGAAAAGCTGCACATATCTTGATCCGAAACTTCCCTTTGGAAACCGAAATACGTCGCGAGCGAGCCAAATAGCCGGGGCACTACATATGAAGCGCAACTGCTGGTGCCACACCAGAGACCAAGCTTGCCGTACGCTCCAGAGATCGCGGACAAGGCCGAAGGCGGAAGGACAATCACGCGGGTTCGCGAGGCCGAGTGCGACGGCGAAGATACCGCTGATTGCGAAGCAGACTGCGAGGGTGCACCGCGTGATTAGGATATGCACCCACGTGTACCAGAAGCGGACTCCCCAAAAGGGGGCATCTGGGGCGAAGGGCTGATACGGTTTTACGTTTGAACGCTGCAAGTCGATATATGTGCCGTATGGGGAGGTGGCGGTGTATGCCGTGAGGATATCAGAGATTGCCCAGTATATGAAACCGTGGACAAGTTTTTCGACTATGAAACGACTTTTGGTGCATGTTAGTTGTGGGTTGTGTGAAGGATTTGGGGTGGTTGAAGAGTGACTTACAGACGAGGATAATCGGATGGAACTTCCATGATAACACCCTTGACTTGTTGACTCCAACCAACATATCTGTTTGTACAGGAAAGACGTATGGCCCACCACAATCGGCTCCAGAAAGTTGTACCTGCTCCGCCTGGTACATACTGGTATTTCTTGTTCGCTGGTACACCATTGCCATTCATCTTGCCGTTCGTCATCTTATCCTTTTTCTTCTCGTGTTCGTTTCCCTTGCCATACTGGATCTTGTACCATCCTTCTTTATCCGGGACCCCTAGAAGTACCCAGCCAATATAGTGATAAACCAGACACGTCGTAAGGGTTTCCATCCCGTACTTGTAACCCCAGCTGGTATCCAATTCTCGGTATAGTGACTGCGCGGCAAACACAACAAGTATGGGTAGGGTGATGGACACACGGAGAAACTGGCGCTCAGGTCTCAGCGCAAGCGCGACGGCATTATTCAAGATCATGATGGGAAATTGGAGGTAGAGAAATATAGGTGGAAGCTGTAAAGACACAGCCATTTTTGCTGCCTTTTCGTCGTGTCGAAAGAAAGACAAGTCGTGGTCGAGCCCAATGATTGATGTGATGACGGACGCCTTAGTATATATCCCCAAACGCCTCACTTCCCGCTAAACTGATATTCGACAGGGTGCGTTGGAAAAACTAGTATGCTGTGAACACCGCACGGGTTGTGCAGGGGTAAAGTGCCGTCCGTGCTGGTGAAAGGCCGAGTACGGTCGATACGGTCAATACGCTCGTATCGAGATAATACTCCACAATTTTACTCTCCGTCTACGCTAGCATCCAGTTTGGGGACGTAGACAGATGTCTGCGATTAGGGCTTGACCTGGATTTACTCAAATCGTCGAGACTATTCCTCAAAAGGACCAGATGGCGGATACCCCTATCAAGATCGAATACATAGAACGCCGGAATGGAGTAGGGAATTGCGTGCAAACACACGTGGTAATACAAGTGGTAGCATTGAAGGAAGGTACGGGATTCAAGGATAGACCTTTGTTCTAATGAGGTGACTTATATAGTGTGAGCTTGACCGTATATTTACCAACCGGGTGAGCGCGGCTCGGATACTCTCGGGACGATCATATAACAGACATAAGACAATGAGAAAGTGACAACTGTTCTCGTCCTCAGTAAGCAAGGTGCTGACTCTTCTGCACGGGATTCCGATTAGTCGAACCATCTTTCCCAAGTATCCTATGCTTTTGCGAACGCCATTTAGTGTTGAAGGTATACTTGCCTGGCAAAATTGCGTAGGTATCAGACCGCTTTGTTGTAGCAATTACAACCATGCACAAAAGCATGTAAGGGACAGAACAATGGAGACGACGTTGTGAGTATTGACAGTAATGTCCAGAAACACGGACTTAGACAGAATGGTATGCATTACAATGTTCTAGTGTATGCGGTAGCTAAGGAGGAATTTCGAGAGTAAGAGAAGTAAGCATCGACGGTAGTTATGATGTGTCCGACCGGGAGGCGAGTTTTGGGACAGCCCGCAACTCAAGCTATGATCGAATAGCAACCGTCCACAGCCCACGTCCTCTCTCAGCGCCATTCTTCTAAAGCTGTACATCTTGAAAGTTTTCTCCATTATCGTCTTCTTCGACAGACGCCTGCCCTGGTTTTGCTCTCTGGGGTAGACTCGCCTCTATCGATTTTTCGTCACTTGGTTCTGGCTCTGAATCGTCTCCTTCGCTTCCGCTTTGCTGCTTTTCCTTTCCAGACTGAGGTTTCAGATCATCTGTTCTGTTCCTGTGCTCTTCTGTTTGCGACTTGGACTCTAATGAGCTTCGCTCACTTCTCTCGCTCACATCATCTTTGGGTGGTGGGGGTGGTGCGGCACCTTCTGCGTCCCGGCCTTGCCTGGATTGCTCAGGAGTGGGTGGCGTGATTTCAGTCCTTGGGCTTATTATAGGACTCCTTGGTTGTTGTTGTTGTTGTTGCTGCTGTTGCTGCGGCTGTTGCGGTTGTTGTTGCTGTTGTTGTGATGATTGCTGAGACTGCTGCTGTGAAGACCCGGCACCGACGCTCCGTAGCCGTGGATCTGCATTTAGGTAGTAGCCTCTAACGCCAACTATCCTTCCTTCCCTCTCACATCCTATAACCCAATCTGGCACTACAACAGGAATGTTGTTCTCGACTGCCTTCTCCCATGCTGGGCCTCGTCCCTCGGTACAGATGAAATGCGTTGTGTCAATACGAACAGTGTCCGCAATTTTAGCGCCGATTCGCTCCACAGATCGTTGTAGAGACTCGCGAAGAGCTGCAGGCATGTGACCAGGGGTAATGGTAATACCCGACAGGTCTGTCATCTTGTGTGTTTGTACCTTCAGCTTTTCACTGCTGAACGTGCCAGCACTAGTTTTCAGGACGAGGTGAAACTGGTATTCTGTGTCGACTGCCAGGCCACTCAACTTGGTGCTGTGCTGATCGGTGGGCTTGGGTATTGTGCCAGCCTTGTTACCATTGCGGTAGAGCGTAAGGCTGCGTAGCTCGGCGGTCGCGATATCGATGGGGTCCCATTCGAGAACTACGGAGGTTTGCGTAGCATTGCGACACTTGAGAACAGGCGCCGAGGGCGTGCGCTGACCGAAGGTACGGAAGATCTCAGACTGGAGCTCATGGAAGGCTTTCTGTGCGTCGGCTTCGGCCTTGTAGTTGCGTCCGACGTCAATATCCACCATGGACCCAGAAGAGATATCTGGCGGGAGCAATATCGAGGGGAATTCAATCTAGATTGACGTCAGCTAGGGTGAATTCGTGTGCTGCAAGGCATTGAGGGCACTCACGAGGCGCTTGTCTTCGGTGAGCAGCACGGCTACACCGGCATCGACCTTTCCGACTGTGAGAGAGACCAGCATCTTGTATATGGGGGTGCGGGGGTGATATGGTGAAGGATATGTGTTGCACCGGGCTTAGTTGAACTTCCACGTACCTGAGCATCGTTGCGCGGCCCGAGGATCTGCCGTAATTAGCGCTAGCGTCGACATGTGTAGGCAGCCATAGTCTCCCAGTCTCTACATCCCACTCGCATCACAACTCAATGGCACGAAGCGCAAAACAAAAAGCAGCTCGCAACCTAAGACGAGGTTCAAGGCCTGTCTTTCAGTTTACTAAACTGCCTGCAGAATTGCAATTACTTGTAGGATTCGCGAAATGCCTTTCAAGAAGCACTTTGAAACTGACTACATGCAATAGGTACTTTGTAGGTGCGACTTGGTTTCGATTGGGAGGCTTCTGAGCGTCAGTTCGTATGTCAGAAGCCTTTATATCCAGTATCCAGAGATTGTAATCCAAGGTTCACTCTCGGAAAACCCCCAGCCTCTCGCCGGCTTGCTACATGTTGCAACGGTATTGCACAACATCAGCGACGACGATTTTGATAGTGATAAACCGTTCGAACTATTAGAGCATGCCAACTCGAACCAATGGCCAGTTATTTATTCCCGATTTCTCCGTAGTAGAGATGATGTTCTGGACTACATGCGCAGTCTGGTAGACATTTACGTCGAAGTAGACGTGGCCGCAGATATAGTCGCACAAGGTATGAATGCTGCAATGCAGATCTACATAGACCCACAGGTGGCTGTCACGCCTGTTGTGCTGTCTGTGGCGGAGCATACACGACTGGTATGCGCTCTTCTGATCGTCAAAATCCACTACCAACTTAGGTCCAAATTCGAACCCGATGGCCCCATGTCAGCGAGGGACTTCGCAACTGCATTCATGCAGACTTTAGCGCCGTGGCAGATGGCCCAAAGCAGCTCGGTTGAAGGTTTTTTGGATTCGTGCCAGAAGTATCCAGGTGGCCTCCTCAACGAAATCATTGATAAACGATACACATGTTGCGAATGTCTCCTGCAAAGGTCATCATATTTACGAAACTACAGCAGAGATGTTGCCGTGGATAGGTACAAAGGGCATGCCTTTGCCGGAGACACAAGCTTTCCTCGCTATTCTCCTGCAGCGGAAGTGGAACGCCGTCGCATTGGCAGGCGGGAATCTTGGGCGGGCCGCGTGGGCGACGCACAGCATCCGGCTACGCAACTTCGTAATCACGGTTGGATGATGTATGATACGATCAGTCCTGGTGATATAATGCGACGGCACCTCGTTTGGAGGGTCGGTATGTTGTTCTGGGATCAAAGCCGACTGGCAGATTGGGGCATGGTCGACTCCAGTGATGTGGTAACCTTGGGCACCCAGACAGCCTGGCGACTGGGATACATGCGTCGGCGGTATCCATACTCGCTACAACGAGGCCACATAGAAGATACGACAAGTCAGCAGATTGTTGAATGGACACGCAGCCACGAACAGATTGATTTCGAAGAGTTCTTGGCAAGGCAATTGGGACAATGACAGAGTGGGCTGTCTACTTAGGATGCACTAGTATACCAGCAGCGTGGAACGTCACGTGAATTGGCGTATCGCGATGTGCGGTGCAACGCGCGAAGCAAATGGCATGTCAGGGTAACCTGTCAGCTGCAGTTACTCAGTCGCCGCATGCCCCAAGTCTTTGATGCCCAGTGCAGCGTGAAGAACTAGACAGCGTGGAGACTGGGGCTGTCACGACTAGCCATTCCCCACCTCCCCCAGCCCATTGAGCCTCTCTCCGAGGGCTGGACCAGTGCTGATCATCGCCGATGGGCATGGTGGGGAACAACCCGGCACTAACGCCTGCTATCGTGGCAGTAAGCTCGCTCAACACTTTGGCGCAGAGATTTTGGGGACGCAACTTGTCCAGTCGAGCGCAAGTCGAAGCAATGACGTGCAATACAAGCCCGACACGTCTTTTGCAACGTCGCTGGGCCAGTTTTCGGCGGCTCTATCGACATGGGCGTGAAACCGGGCGGGCGAAGACGTTAAACTCGAGTGGGCATAAGCCAGCCGTTCGCGATAAGTCCCGCCGCAATGCACGGATACCTATGATGTACTTTGTATCGCGAATTCTTGCACGTCCACGGTTCGCAAGGGCTAGCTCAACAACACCCGCCTGGCCACCGCTTGCCTCGTCTGTCGTCGTTCTTATCCAGCCATTGCCCTCATAATCGCTTTTTCTTTTCCAGACCGCTTGTCTGCGTACAATACTCCCCCTCTCCCGAGTCCCTCTCGAAATAATATCTTGGCTGTCGGACTACCCCATTTGTTTGCCCCATACTGCCTGCAGGCAATTATTATCTCCACGCCGCTCCTTGCGCCGTCCACCCCACCTCTCTCCCTTCCTAACAGTGACTCGGAAGCCCACTCACACCGGCTCCTACAGTCACAATGGTTCTCATTGAGAATCAAGAATACCTCTGCGAAGAGGAACAGCGCCTCAAGCAGGACCGCGAGCGCACCGCTTACTGGAAGCGATGGGGTCCCTATGTTGCTGAGCGACAATGGGCAACAGGTCAGTTTTATACCGTGTAGTTATGTTTGAACCCTACTGACACACATCCAGTCCGCGAAGACTATTCGTAAGTGTCCATGGTGCCCTTTGATGCCGCCTTTTGCTGACCGACTTTCCTTTACAGCCATGATGGAGATGCTTGGAGTCGTAAGTGGATTCTTTGTGTTTGTTCTGTCAGTCTTTGCTAACTTCGGTAGATTTCACTCACGATATGGCACGGTCGCGTGCTTTTCGCTGGGGCGAGGACGGTATCGCTGGCGTCTCCGACTCGCACGGCTTCCAGAACATTGCGTTTGCTTTCTGGAATGAGAAGGAGTGAGTCAATTCGAGCACAGAAACGAGAATTTCATCTGATCTTGTATAGCGATTTTCTAAAGGAGCGGCTTTTTGGACTGTCGAATCCCCAGGGCAACCACGGCGAGTCGCTCAAAGAGTGCCATTTCCACTTGGATAACACCCCAACTGTGCGTTCATAGTCTTATTTGGAATCAATTCACTGACGTTACCTGTAGCACTCGTACATGAAGTTTCTATACAAGCTACCTCAGCGGAAATTCCCCTACGAAGATCTCATCGAGACCAACGCGAAGCGAACACGGCTCGAGCCCGAGTACAATCTCGTAGACACTGGCATCTTCGATGATGACCGATATTGGGACATATTCATTGAGACTGCCAAAGAGGCCGACGACCCGGAAGAGCTGTGCTTTCGAGTTACAGCCTACAACCGCGGTCCAGAGCCAGCCCCACTACACATTGTGCCTCACTGCTGGTTCAGGAACACTTGGGCGTGGGGTCACGAGGATCCAAAGCTAAAGCCTTCTATTACTAAGATTGGCCCAACGACTGCTCAGTCAAAACATCACAAGCTCGGAGACCGATACTTTCAGCTTTCGCCGTCTCCCGGTACCGGTCCAAGCGGCGAGGATATTCAGCCCGAGCTGCTCTTCACTGACAATGACACCAACTACAAGGGCATATGGAAGGTCGAGAACAAGACTCCATATGTGAAGGATGCTTTCCATCGCTACATTGTCGATGATGAGAAGGACGCTGTGAACCCCGAAAACACAGGCACCAAATGTGCTGCGTGGTACGCTTTCGATGAAGGTGAGGGTGTCCAGCCTGGCGAGTGTGCAGTAGTCCGCTTCAGGCTCTCGCGAAAAAACGACGGCTATCTCGACGAAGAGCTCTTTGACGACATCATTGAGCAGCGTCGCGCAGAGGCGGATGAGTTCTACTACAGGATAAGCCCTCTTCCAATTGCGGATGACTTGCGCAATGTCCAGCGCCAGGCGTTTTCCGGTATGATGTGGTGTAAGCAATACTACCACTTCATCTGGGACCAGTGGGCCAATGGTGATCCGGCCATGCCTCCCCCGCCACCTGAACGGAAGGCAATACGAAACAAAGAGTGGAAACACATGTACCTGGACGATATCCTTTCCATGCCTGACTCCTGGGAGTATCCATTCTTTGCTGCCTGGGACAGTGCGTTCCACTGCATTACACTGGCAATGATCGATCCCGATTTTGCTAAGAAGCAGCTCGACCTCTTCACACGCGAGTGGTACATGCATCCCAACGGCCAACTCCCGGCTTACGAATGGAACTTTGGCGATGTAAACCCTCCAGTTCACGCCTGGTCACTGTTTAGGGTGTTCAAAATTGAGCGTAAGATGTATGGACGCGAAGACTTTGACTGCCTTGAGCGCGTGTTCCAGAAATTATTGCTCAACTTCACCTGGTGGGTCAACCGAAAAGATGCAGACGGAAAGAACATCTTTGAGGGTGGTTTCTTGGGTCTTGACAACATTGGCGTCTTTAACCGTTCCGATCCTCTGCCGACTGGCGGTGTTCTGGAGCAGGCCGACAGCACTGGCTGGATGGGCTTCTACTGCCTGAACATGCTGAACATCTGTCTCGAACTTGCCAAGAGACGCCGTATCTACGAAGACATGGCTTCCAAATTTTTCGAGCACTTCCTCATGATTAGCGACGCCATGCAATTCCGCAGCGAAGGCGAGTCGAAGCCACTATGGAACGAAGAGGACGGCTTCTACTATGACGCCATCTCGTGGGGTGGCCCATGGAGTCATCAGATGCCAGTCCGTTCTCTTGTTGGTCTTATTCCCCTCTATTCGACCATGACGCTTGAACCGGAGATCATCAACAGATTGCCCAGTTTCAAGAAGCGTGTAGAATGGTTCATCGCCAATCGTCCAGAGCAATCAAAGCGTAATATTCACACACTGTCCAAACGCGGACAGGGCAATCGTATGCTCCTGTCGCTTGTCAACGAAGATCGCCTCAAGCGGATAATGAAGAGGATGTTGGACGAAGACGAGTTCCTTGCTGATCATGGTATCCGATCACTCTCAAAATACCACAAGGACCATCCCTACTCTATGGATGTCAACGGCGAAAAGTACGAGGTGGCCTACCTGCCAGGTGATTCAGACAGCGGCCTTTTCGGCGGCAACAGCAACTGGCGAGGCCCGATCTGGCTGGCGGTAAACTTTTTGCTTATCGAGTCTTGCCAGAGGTTCCATCTCTACTATGGCAACAACTTGAAGGTTGAGTGTCCTACAGGTTCTGGTGACTATATGCATCTTGGCCACGTAGCAGAGGAGATTCAGCATCGTCTCCAGCATTTGTTTGCCCGCGGAGATGACGGCAGGAGGGCCATCAACAACGGAAACGAGATGCTTGACTTTGACCCCAACTGGAAAGACTACATGTGGTACCATGAGTTTTTCGATGGCGACACTGGACGCGGGTTGGGAGCGACACATCAGTGCGGCTGGACCGGTCTGATTGCAAAGATGATTCATGACACTGGGTAAGCTTGCTCATGAAATGGCAGTATAACAGGGCTAACAAGAGACAGCATGACTTGTCGTCTCCCACAGACACCACGCACGCCAACTGGTGCTGCTAGCCACTACTTTGACGATGTCTTTACGCCTGCAGGCAAGCCGGCCAAACGCCACGCTCTTCGTCGATCATCGACAAGCCGTAGCATCGGCTTCCGAAGTGACTGGGGAGAGACGTCGACCAACGGTGAAGAAGACTACGATGATGAATCAGGCCCGATGAGGCGCAAGAACTCGGTCGGTGTCTTAGACCAAGCAGCGCTTGAGCAAAAGTCAGCTATGGAGGATCGTCTGAACCACTACGTCAGCGGACAGCTCCAGCGCATCAAGAAGGGCATGTCAGAATATGAGCCGGACGAGTTGGAGACGATGGATGATGCCCCCGACACGCGAGGCAGAAACGGAAACCGCAATGGGCGTAAACGCGACGATGGTGATTACTTTGAGCAAGATCCGTACTTTAGCAAATAAGCCATGAAAACGCATGGTGGATACGACATGTCTGTTGGAGGATGCAGCATTTGGTGGACTGGGTTGTCACCTGGTGAGGGTTAGATGCTAGACTCATGATAGAGGCGCAGTACATGCAGAGTATTTGTTTTTTCCACACACTGGTGGCGTTGATTCCTTTCATGATTTGTCGCCTGAAAAAGTAACCACGTAGATAATGCGTGGCGCTATCTATAACACACAAAGTGTATCGTGTGTCGATGAGATGCATGTGCCTGTTTTACAAGGTGAGCTAGGCGTATCACGTGCTGGTGTAGTGGAGGTGGCGGTGGTGGTTGCGGCCGGCGATTATCGATTGTTTGTTGCGGGGCCTAAACACTATCGTCACTCCTGAACCCGACCAAGACAGCCCAACGTCACCAAGCGCTTCTTCGCCCGCTTGCCTCGCAGCCTCGGTCGCAAAGAGACTTTGCAGTTACTCACTCGCTCATCCGCTCAAAACGCTTGCGCATTCCTCAGCCGCCCAGACCGGAGAACAGAAAACAGACGTGCAGCAGGAGATATATACAAAGCAGCGCGACTTGACAAGATGTCCAACTTTATAACTACCGTGTTGGTGGCCCTCTTGCTACCCAAGCACATGCGCAACAGGGATTCTTGGGCGGAGAAAGACTGACTTTGTCCATGGTCTAGTAACCCACGAACGCGCGCACCCTTCAAGCCACAAAAAGGAAACCGAGGCACGAGCAGCTGGCAGCTCAAGCAGTATGCAGAGGCTACGCTGGGTAGCGGAAGTCTAAGGAAAGCGGTCAGGTTGCCCGAGGGAGAAGACAAGGACGAGTGGCTGGCAGTCAATGGTGCGCATTGTGCTGAAGATGAGGCCGAAGCCAGCTGATTCGCGAGCGCAGTCGTCGACTTTTACAACCAAATCAACCTACTCTATGGCTCCATCACGGAATTTTGCTCGCCTCAGAGCTGTCCAGAGATGAAGGCTACCGACGAGTAAGGCAGCAACTGGACATGGATTGGGCATCTTGTTGACAGTAATCAGATTCGAGTACCTCTGGCAAGATTCGGAAAACTACAAGAAGCCGACCAAGATGCCGGCACCGGAATACATTGAGCATCTCATGGCATGGGTTCAGTCCAATGTAGACAACGAAGCCATGTTCCCGTCACGGATTGGAGTGCCATTTCCCAAGGCGTTCCCGTCTCTTATCCGCAACATGTTCAAGCGGCTGTACCGAGTGTACGCACACATCTACTGCCATCACTATCCTGTCATTATTGAGCTAGGGCTAGAGCCACACCTCAACACTAGCTTCAAGCACTACGTGCTGTTCATCGACGAGCACGGGCTGGCCAATGGAAGCAAAGACTTTTGGGGTCCGCTCGGAGACTTGGTGGACAGCATGCTGAAAAGCGACTAGGGCTGGGTAGTGTTCTAGAAGAAAGCAGGTGGCGGGAGGACATGGCAAAGCAGAAATGGAAGAGGTGGGAAAAATGAAGAGGCAAGCGAGGGACAGGCGCAATCACTCGGGTAATGTCATGCGTCGAGCACATGATGGATGGCGTTGGACGCGTCCATGATTCGATAGGGTCCGGGAAATAAGCCGGGCATTTTGCACTTTAACAATGTATGAGTAGTGTGGTGAGGAAGAATTGAGACCGAGACGGGCAACAGAGTCATGTGCTTTTTGGCTATGGAAACACAATGCATAGTAGGATGAAGCGAGATCTGGGGGCGGCAAAACAAGACATTGGATAGCTGGGGCGTGTTAAGGGCCAGCATAATCCGAGGTAGAAGAGTAACCCCGCCAGCCAGATGACCTCACCAGGGCATTGTTTCCGGCGTCGCGGGCGATTTAATATAAGAACGCACGGGTCACCGGCAGTTTGCTGTGTTGTGGTTCGCCTGGCGGGCGGTAGTGGCAATGACAGTAGATGAAGGCACAAGCGTCGTAGAGTAGTCTTGTACACCACGATGGGCAGATGTCAAGGTGCGAGTGGAGACTGTGCAAGACGGCCAGTGTGACGATACGAAACGGCCCTCTCTCTGTTGGAGTCAGTCGTGCCTCGTGCCCACTTACTTTTGCGCAGTCGCTTGGACGAAACACTGACGGGACGGAGCCTGACGCGTGCTGAACCATGGCCTGAGCTCCTGGAACGGACGGGTAGTAAGTAGGCGTTGCAGACGGGTGCCCATCCTTCCATCGACACATGTACCCCCTCCCCCCAGACGCCGGCAGCATCGCGACCGTTTTGCCCTCAAGGACCCGCTTGGGAGCTTTGATGGATGGCCATGCTAAGTGTATACCTACATGCGTATATATTATCAGTAGCGCCGTATTTACTTTACGTGCAACGCATGATTGGTGCTGTCGACATTAACAGGCGGGCCCGCCCCAGATTCGCTCTGCAGCAAGGATCGGTTACTCAACACCCTTTTGGGCGGTCCAGGATCCAGGAAAAGGCTGATACATCAACGCCCTCCGTCCTAGCGGCTGCTGAGTCCTGTCTTTTGCTCGTCTCGACCGCTTCCGGGTGAGCCTTGGGGACACGCAGCTTTTTTTTTATGTCATGGCCTTTGTGCAACCCACACGGCTGGATGCCCCCCGAGGCGCGCCCTGTTCCCAGCGTGCCGCCACCGCCGCCGCTGTCAAGAAAGTCAGTCTTCTCGGCTACAATGGAGATCGGGTGTTAGAGACGGAATGAAGGGAGATGTGCGGCCAAAGGGCGCCCGATGATTTGCCCTGTCGCACCAAACGCATGCGGCATGGTTGCCACGGCCAGAGCCCACCGTCCTCATAGAGTGCGACCCACGTGAGTGCGACGCCCGCGAGACTAGACCGCAGCGCACCTGGAGAGGCTTCGGGCATACTTGATTCGTTCCGTGCGTGTGTTAATATGCAGCGAGCAACGGAATTGCGGGGATGCTGTGCCTGTCGAGGCGCCCGCCCAAAGGGCCAAGGGTGGAAAGCAAGGATTGCCGCTTTTTCTCGCCTGCACTTGACCTTGACCTGGCCTTGTGCCTGTGTGTGTGGCCTGGCTTGCAGGGCGTTTATATGCGAATGCTCACCCCCTTCCAAAGCAGAGACTGCGAGATGCCGTTTTGCGATTTCTCCAGGTTTTCTGCCGGCAGGCTTCGTCAATAACCATGCCTACTTATCCTCTTCAGCTCACCTGCTTGGGCGTCATCATTGGCACTCCGCTTCTGGCCTCGATTTTTGTTATTCTGAGAATATACACGCGCCGGAAGCTCAATCTGCGCTTGAGTTGGGGTATGGTTACTCTTTCTTTGACCATGCGATACAAGGGACTGACTGGGTGTTTGCATAGATGACTGGCTTATCATACTTCCTCTGCTATTGTCAATAGCCCTCATAGGGCCTTCATACAGACGTACGTATAGCTAGACTCAATGCCCATTTACGGCTTGCTGACCAGATACAGATGTCAAGATGTGGCATGTTGGTGTCCATATCTGGCAAGTTCCTCCAGATGAGATTGAACCAAACTATGACGAGTACTACGCTGTATGTATGGTGCTGATGCGATGTGACTGTACACTGACAGCGTCTAGGTTGTCATGGCCTTCAACCTGTTGAACATTCCCATCTTGCCACTGGTCAAAGCATCAATCATCCTTCTCCTTCTTCGCGCTGGTTCCGTCATCCAATGGCTGAGGCGAGCACTGTACGCCATTCTCATCTTCACCGTCGGCAGTGCTTTGATTCCATGGTGTCTCTACATCTTCATCTGCCCACCCCTTACTGGCAACACGTGGAAGCCGCGAACCTTTGGTGGTCTGCACTGCATGGGCCGCCACAAGATGGGCGAGATGTTGATCTGGGTTACCTGCGCCAACCTCCTTACTGACGTTCTGATCCTCCCCATTCCGTTCATCATTGTCCGAAGGATGATGAGTGCCCGTCTACGCTCCCGTCTGGTTGTACTGGCAGTCTTTACCTGCAGTCTAGCGTAAGTCAAGTCCATGCCATGGCCAAGACGAACCAACTAACCCTGTGTATAGGGTCACTGCTATTGGCGCTGCGAAGATCTACCTCTCATACCGCGACCGCCTGTACACCCTCTTCAAGCCTGACTGGACCTACCCAATCGACTACTGCATCAACCACATTGAAAACAACGTCGCCATCATCGTCGCCAACATCCCCATCCTACGTGGTCTCGTCACACGATGGATCTTCAACTTCCGCACCAAAGCCACGCCCATGGACCGCGAGGCCCGCACCGACAACAACTGGCAGCAATGGGACCTTTCGAGCTCGTCTGCAGGTGACAGCCGCTACACGCGCCGCAACTCAAAGAAGAGCGTCAAAGTACGCATGTTCAACAAGATCCTCCCTTGCATTCAAGACGACTTCTCCAGCAGCCTCGCCACCCGCACCTCGACCTCTGGCGACGCCACCAACAGCAACAAAGCCGGCGCAAGCACGCACATCACCGAATGCAAGAAACCCCGTCTCCCCAGCAAAATCGTCACCTCCAACCCCCCCAAACGCACCTACTTCTCCCGCCCTTCGCGCCGCAACAGCCAAGACCGCTACGCCGCGTCTTCGCACTGTGAAAAGGGCGACGCCAACGTCCTCGAGTCCGTCCGCAGCGTCGGCAGCAGCCTCGAATCCGCACCTACCCTCGTCGACAGCAAGTACGGTAGAGGCAGCATGGGCTGCAAGAGCTTGGAACTCGAGTCCCCGCCTGTCAGCCCTACAACTGTAGTACCCGGCAGACGCTACTCTGCTGCTACTCTCCTGCACAGCCCCATTACGCCGCTTTCGCCGGTTAGGCTGCGCGGGATTGGCGATGCGGGCGAGTATGACGAGGATGAGGATGACGACGAGGCCATTTATCCGTATCATCCTCGAACGAGGAGTTGGGGCGACGAACAGCAGCAGCAGCGTAGGTTATGAAGATTATGATATCCCTCCCCACCCGTTCTTTTTTTCCTTTTGTTTACGGCTTGATGGGGAATAGGGACACAGTGGAGTTTTTTTTTGCAATGATACCATGTGACATTATTTTCTATATTGCACAAAAGGGTTTGGGCTTTTTTTTTAGTTACGATCGCTTTTTTGGAGCTGAGGCGGGTGTACGCATGCATGGCCTGGCAAAGGGAGGAGAAGTTGGTATACGGACATCCACATCGAGTGTTGAACACTAGAAAGAAGAGAGAGAGAGAGTATTATGCAGTGCATACCCTTTACCTTTTTCTCATCCTTTCTTTTCGCTTCTCTGTTCATGACTTTAGGCTGGTAAATATCCTCATCTATGTTTAAAAAAAATGGAAAACAATTCAACATTCACCACCTTCTTCCTTGCTCTCTCTTCCTTCTACAATACCATCTTCTACGTTCGTCTAACGACAAACCCATCTCACAACCTAACCCCCCCCCCCTTCGATCCCCCCCCAAACCCGCGATCCCGCAACCAGCCCAAACCCGCGATCCCGCAACCAGCCCAAACCCGTTATCCCCACATCATCCACGTAATAAGCCCCCCCTTTCCTGAAACACGTCCGTCCCACATTGCCCCGTTACACCGTGTTCCCTTCCTTCCCCTCCTTCCCGCCGCTATGCCTCGTGTTTTTCTCATCTTTTTTTCTTCGCTTGTCGGCCCCATTATTGCCCACCCCGCCCGCCCCTGATGTCACTACAGAACACGAGTGGTACATACCGAGCCAAGGCATGGGTGTAGGGGGGGGGAAAGGGGATACCGAGCCGGTGAGTTTACTTACTTACCAGGGCGCAGGGGAGGGGGGAGGGTGGTCCGCGGGAACGAAGGGGGGTGGGTACGATGTGAGGATACGGGATGGATTGCGAGAAAGGAAAGTGCGGAATGAGTGCGCGTGTGTACCTTACTTGCGAGTTGAAGCGAAAGGGAAGGGTGGAGAGGTTGGTAAGTTGTAAGTAAGGGAGGAGGATATACGTGTGATGTCACTATGATATCTCTCTATTCTGATACTTGGAAGTAGGTATTTTGCTTGCAAGTGAAGAGGACCAAAAGTATCACCTTGTGAAATTTCATATTATCTTGCATTTTCAGTTTTCTCGTAAACTTTTGTGTTGCAAATTTGATCAAAGTGTATGTTTTTTTTGTCCGAGTGTACTACGCATGCGCGACTTTTCTTTTGTGTTTAAAATGAAGGGATGACGTAGAAAGGGTATAAGTGCTTGCTGTTAAGACAAAAAAAAGGTTTAAGATTACAAAGTAGTAGATCCTACGCATTACTAGGGGGTCCCATTATGGTAATTTTATATTTCCCACAAACGAGGGAGGGGGGAAACGTATATTTCCTTGTCTTAATAAACCGGCGTATAGATATGGGCGGATGGGACGAGACGACATTTGCTTTCTTACTCGCCTCTTTTACTTGGACATTCATCTCCCGCGACACGTATGTGTCGGGTTGGTGGTAAGTTGTGGTCATGACAAAGTTGGAGTCGGAGATTAGATCGTGCGATTAGATTCGGAGATGAAAAAAATGGTTGGAGTCTTGGAGGTTCTGGAACTTGGAGCTTATGGGATCGGGTTGTGGGTACCATGTGGAAGTGGGGACGTTGAGGAATCATCGACATTGCACGTTTGTGGAAATGGGATATTGGACGATCAGGCTACTGGTGCTTCAGATGTTCGTATCGGTTCGGTCTTGCTTTTTTATTCCTTTATCTTTTTTTCTGGGCCCGGCCGTTGCACTAATACAAGTGTGAGACTTGCACTGCCTGTCTTGGACTTACAGGTGTTACCGTTTTGATGCTAGGGCCGGCCTAAGAGATACCAAGAGCGCAGTGTAGACTGCGATTACTAGCATGTTGCCTGCTGACGTGCTCCGACCAGAACTGTTTCTACTTGTGTTGTCCAAGAAGAGAACAAGTGAGGCTACTTTCCCACTAGTGGACATGGCGGTTTGAGAGAAAAGAGAATTGGGTAGCCAAGCATGTCGCAATGAAAGGCGTACTTAGCAAGCACAATGCAAGGTATACTCGGGGCGTCAAAGGGCCGACCAGAGCTCGTGTTCCATATTGGGACGTGGAGATCTACACAGGATAGCCGCACCAGGTAGCGTGTCGCGAGCTAGGCATTGGGGCTTTGGCACAGTTTCAGGATTTCTCAACACTGCCGATGGTGTCGTTCCTTGGTGGTTCGGGTTCGGTAAGTAAGTAGGTGAGGCCAGGTCTCGGTGGATTTATGTAACAAAGTTGCGGCGCCTATTCGCTCTTTCTTGTTTCGTTGACGGCTGCTAGACGTCAACCTAGACTGTTGGGCCAGCGGGTGCAGGCGGAACCGTTTGCCAACCTTGTCCGGACATGTGTCGATGTGAAAGTCCTTGCGTCGTCGTCGTCGTTGTCGTCACCGATGTTGTTGCTGTCGGTGTCGGTCGGAGTATCCTCGTAGGTACGTACTTACTTGGTACATGTCGGCAGCGGCCATCCGGTTGCGACGACCAAGTATCACAAATGTAACAAAAGTGTCCCGGCAAGGCAGTCGGTTAGCAAATACGAAGATCAATCTGGCGCGGGTGTATACGTATACGCGGCGCCTAGTACAAGTCACACAAGTGTCCAGACGTAGTGTGATGATGAGCTGAGCACAGGAGATGTCGTCGTCGCGTGGGTCGGGAGAAGCGACCAAGTAGGCAATTGGTGGTGCATAGCGAAGGTCCAATTTCCCCCTTCCTTCCCTTTGCGCCCTTGTTCCACTCCACATCCTACTTACTGTCCCAACATCACCCGCCACACACACACACACACACACACACACACACACACACACACACACACACACACACACATACACACATACACGCACACATATTCCACTGCGGCACCTGCATAATTGCACGGGATAATGCACTCCCACACGACCAGTGGCAAAAAGAAAGAAAAATAACTCGCACATCACCAGCCATGTGCGCGCGTGCCCCTCGTTCTTCTCCACATTGTTTTTCCGTTGCCACGTTGGGCGACGATTAATATATTCGAGGCTGCACTACCCCTGTTCGACGGCTCATATGGATAATTTAACTGCCCACCCCCATTCAAGGCCGCGCGCATTCGCCTCGGGC